TGAGAGTTTTAGGGAAAAACCTGGAAAAATGAATGAACTGATCACTATCAGATTTTTATATCACTTTTAGAATTAAATTACAGATGTGGTCTTCTAGTTAACTCTATTCACCTGAAAAAGGTATGGGAATAAAGCACTACATTACAGTCCTAGAATGGAGTGGATCTATCTCACGGGAATAAAAATGTGGTGAAGCCCGCTCATAAAGGTGGTTCACGGGCAGATGAGAGAAAAGCCTGGCCCCTTCTACTGAAGGAAGAAATGCCAATATTGTTGCCAAATGGTCTTTGATTGAAGTTGCAGATAGTCCTAAATGCTTTAAAGATAAGAGGTCATTTGTACTAAGATCATCTTTAGACATAGTCCATCAGGATTTTTTTTCCGTTTGACAGTGCTTCTAGTCCTCGTAGATAATATTCTGCAAAGGATAAGAATGGTCTGAAATCTCTGTCTACAGAGTATTTCCAGCTATCTTCCTAGTCTTGATACAGAGCAGCTGGGTTTGGGTGGAGAACCAGGCCAGTATTCTGTGATACCATCAACCTAAAGTAGGAAGTGTGACAAATTGGTGATCTGAACCAAAACTAGTGAGGCCCAGCAGTACCCACTTGTGTAATTCCAGAATTTTCTTGGCTTATTTTCTGTCACACCCTTTGAATCCATGGAAGTAAAGGGATGACATGTGTGCTTGCCATCACAAGTAGGTGTGATCAGATCATGACTGTCTGCTGGAGATCCAGATCACTTTCCTGCTTCAGAACAAAATATCAGATTTTTCCTGTTTTGAACCATCACAAATAAGTCAGTCTGGAGAAGTCCACATTCTTGGAAAATGTAGTATTGCATTTTTCAATTCCCATTGGTGGAATGAACACAATTTCCTGCTCAGGAAGTCTGCTAAACTGGTGTTCTCTCATGCAAGGAGAAGAGCTGAGACAGTCATATGATTCTGAATGCATCACTCCCGAAAGTTCCCCGGCTTCATGGCAAAGAAGGCCTGGTTTTCCTGTTTGTTTATGTAATGTGTGTGTGTGTGTTTGCCACAATTGTCCCTGAACTTGAATTGAAGAAAAAACTTTTTAAGCAAATTTCTGACCAGCCCCTTTAACTAAACATGCTAACCAAAACAGTGACAAGTACAGGATGCATAAAGTCTCAGAAGGGTAGCCATAGTAGACTGTATCTGTAAAAACAACAAAGAGTCCTGTGGCACCTTAGGGACTTAAATTTATAGGGCATAAGGTTTCGTGGGTAAAACTCACTTCATCAGATGAAGTGAAGTGGAAATTACAGAGTCAGGAGCATATATAAGAACAACAAAAGAAAGAAGTTACTTCTGTTAATGAAGCTAATCAAGTCAGGGTAGGAGTACCTCATTCACACCATTTGGTGTGGAGATATGAAGACCAAGAGTGGGGAAATTCTCTTTCTAGTATGTAAACCAATTAAGATTCTTATTCAATTCTAAAATGATTGTACTGAATTTGCAAATGAACTCCAGTGCACCTGTTTCTATCTGTAATCGGGTTTTGAAATTCTTTTGAAGAAGGATGGCTACTTTCAAATCCATTACTGAATGTCCGGGGAGGTTAAAGTGTTTCCCCTATAGGTTTGTGTATGTTACCTTTCCTAATGTTTGATTCGTGTCCATTTATCCTTTGGCAGAGGGACTGTCTGGCTGGCCACTAGACATGGCAGAGGGGCATTGCTGGCCCTTGATGGCACAGATCACATTAGTGAAGGTGCAGGTATAAAGAAATTACTACCAGCTATCCGACTAAGTATTAAACACCCACATAACTGGAGGATTGGGGGAACACCACTGTGATATTGGGTGCACTGCCTAAGGAGGATACTGAGTGACAGATGGGAGGGGTTGTGAAGTGAAAGCTGCCTGGGATTATTGATAGTCTCCTGCTGCCAAAGCTGGAGAATACAGAAAAACCCCACAGATAAAAGCCTGGTCCCGCTCAAAGCAACACTCAGGCAGTATTGGCAAGATCTGGCACCACTGCATCTTCCTGCAATGGAACCTGACTCGTGGGCCAAGATTTCCCTCAGTTCTTTCATCTTCTTAAACAAGGCGGAGGCTGGAAGGAGGAGGAAGCCTGAGGCCTTTGCTCTTCAGGCCTGGAAAATAGGAGTGGAGCTGGGTGGGTCTTCATTTCCTGTAGTCTTCTCAGTAGCCCCACCCCCACCTCAGAGAAGAAAGGCAGCTTTCAGAGATACTGCTCCATTCCCCTGGGCAAGTTGGCTGTCGTGGGAAAGTGGGAGCGTGGAGCTGAGTGGGCGCCAGCAGTTGGGGTGGGTACTGACAGGTCCCTCCATGGGCAAGGCTGACACAGCTGTGCTTCCTGACATCAGCTACAGAGAGTGGAGGCTCTGCGGGTGCCAATCCCCTTTCCTAGGATGGAGGAAGTGGGTGACAGGCTGGGATAAGGGAGTTTGGAAGAGCTCTTGCTGCCAGGTGGCAGAAGGTGGTGTCGGCCCAGGGCACAGCTGTGTGAGGTGCTGGGGATAGTATTCCTGGGATCAGGAGTGGCTGACTCCCATGCCAGCCCGCACACCACAGGTCTCCAAAGCCCCATTGCTCAGAGACCCGCTCTCTTCCTATTGCAGCTCGGGCAGATTCCATGGGAGACAAAAGAAAGCTGTCAAGTGTGGTGGGGGATGCCCCATGGGAGGGACAGCGGGAGGTGGGGGAGGGGGAAGCAAGGCAAAGCTTTAGCTCTGGGGAAAGACCGTTTTTAGAATAAAAACACACTTTCTGTTCTTGGAGAAATATCGAACTCTGCTAATGCTCCGTATTATTCCCCCTGGAGAACAGAGTTAGTCAGGTGAGTGCTGCCATGCTGATTAGCTCGTGCATGCAGCAATGGTCTAGTCTGTAAGCTGCATTAGCACTGGTGGGGACTGTCTGCTTGCCTGTCTTGGGGACCAAATAGGGATTTGTTTGCCTCAGCTACTAAGTAAATTCTTAGCAGTGTCCAACCAACCCAACCACTACTACAGTGGGACAATCTTGAAGGAAAATTTGAATGTGATAGATGGGGTAGGGGGGAGGAGGAGGAGAGGTGCAGCATCTATGCCAGGCCCCTCATCCGGGCAATGGGGGCAGCACCATGCTCCCAGAAGAGGCAGAGCTGAGGGCAGAATGGGTGGGGCTGGGGGCAGACAGCTCTCAGTGGCACCTGGACCATAGCACACACACCACCCACCACCCTCAACACTGCCTGGAATGCGCCATGTGGCACCCCCACTTTCCCAGGCAGCCCTAAGAGTCAGCTGGACCATGCCACATGGCTCTCTGGCAGCAATTTAAAGTGCTCAAAGCCCCAGGCCCTCGGGCAGTTGTGCCTTTTGCCCCCACCATCAGCAGGCCTGATAGAAATCCCTGTGATGCTGAAGTTGACCCAAATGAACATGAATTTGGTTATTTCCCCTCATCATGGGAAAGAATGAGCTGGCCCATCAGCCGCTGTGATCGGGCCTGTGGCCACTGAGTTCAGGGAAGCTAGGCTGAGACTCGCCAGCTGAAGAGCAGGCCTGTAGCCTGCACTTTGGCAATCTGGAGAGCCATTTGAGTGGCAGGAAACTCAGGACCCTCTGGAAGGGCTGGGCAGAGCAGGGCAGGTGGTAAGGGGTGGGGAACCTGAGGTTTAGGGGGCCAGATTCAGCTCCCAGATGGCCTGGATCCTGCCCCACAGGCTCAGGGAAACCCCTCCCCACACTAGCATTGGGAACCCTGCAAAAGCATTGCCCAGATCCTCAGCCCCTAGCCCACTCCTGCCAGACCCCACAACCTGCTCCTGCACCCCCTCCAGTTCAGCCCCCTCCCCTCATTTTTGGGCCCAACCCAGAGCCTAGGGGGTCACAAAATCTACTAGTTTGCGGTGGGGGACCCCAACTGATTTTCTGTGGGGCAGCAGACTCCGACCCCCCAATAGATTCCCTACCCCTGAGAGTAAAAGCACGGGCCCTCTGGGAATCTGGCCAAAGAGGAGCTAGGTGTGCGGGGTTCCTGGCTGTCCAAGCAGAAATCCGCCCAGCTCCTGGCCAGAGCCTAGGGGGTCACAAAATCTACTAGTTTGCGGTGGGGGACCCCAACTGATTTTCTGTGGGGCAGCAGACTCCGACCCCCCAATAGATTCCCTACCCCTGAGAGTAAAAGCACGGGCCCTCTGGGAATCTGGCCAAAGAGGAGCTAGGTGTGCGGGGTTCCTGGCTGTCCAAGCAGAAATCCGCCCAGCTCCTGGCGACGAGAGGGACCAGGAGGGCACCCCCTCCCTCCAAGCCCTGCCACCCTGCGGGCGCTGGCTCAGCAGAGTCCCTGGCTGCGCGCTGCGGTCCCCTTTCCAAGCCGATCCCCGCCCCCCAGCATCGGGGGCGCTTCCTGGAAGGGCACAAGCCCCGGGCAGGCCAGCGAGGATCCCTGTGATGCTCGTGGGCTCCCACCGCAGAGTAGCGCAGCTGCAAGAAATTGGGCGAGTCATTCCCCTGGGCCCCTCGTGTGTACTTGGCACCGCTTGTTACAGTCGGTCCCTTCCAGGCAGGGCCACATCCCCAAAGGCACCGGGCACTGCGGCGAGGAGCCAGCCCTGCCCGGCCCGCCCCAGTGCCCCACCTGGGAGCGGCGGAGGGGGAAAGGGCTGGACACCCCTAGCGGCCAGGTGAGAACAGCCCCTCGGTGACAGGCGGCGAGTTGCGCGGAGGCCGGAGGTGGGGTGAGTGGATTTCAATTCTCCCACGCAACGGGGGAAGTTTCATCCCGACACCTTTTCCGCCAGACGGGCCCCTGCAGCGGGGCGATCCCCTTCCGCTGCCGCGGGGGGCCAGGGCGGGGAGGGAAAGTGCCGCTCGCAGGAATCTCAGGTGTTTCCAGTCCGAGAGAGGAGCGGCTAAATCCGCTTTCCGAAGGGCGTTTTCTGTGTACACACAAGCTGAGTGGCTGACAGCCCGGTGCTACCGCTTGTACTGAAAACAGTGTCACAGCCAAAGACGTGCGGAGGGAGAGCCACGAGTCCAAGGTGTCCTCAGCAGGAGACTATAAAGGGAGAGTCAAATACAGAAAGTGACCAAACCCGCCTGTTATACTGAGCCAGCTGCGCGGCGACTTTGCACATCCTACTGCTAAGGAGCTTGATGGGAGGGATGGGCTAAAGCCAACTCCACGGTTATCTAGGAAGAGGTTTTACCCGCGGCCACGTGATTCCGTTTGCTAGAGCGTCTTGCCTGCTTTGGGAATTTCCTCTGACACAATCTAGAAGGGGCACACCCAGGGCCGTGTATAAAAGGGGCTGGGTTACTAGCTCAGACATCAGACATCAGAGAATAAGCGAGCTCTCAATTCCTCACAAGCAGAGGCAGAAGGAAGAAGGAAACCTCCCCTCTCATCATGAACGGCAAAGTCCTTGTTGCTGGGTTGGCTCTTTTCCTGCTCTACACAGCAGTGGCAGAAGGTAAGCAAAACCCTCCCTAAGGCTCAGATGACTTGGCTTAGGCACCTGTGGTGCATGCTCATATGAAGAGACATTTTTAGGCTAATTTTACAAAGGCGATGTCCAGTTAAGTTAGTTGAAGAGAGAGCTCGACGGAAAAAGTTCTGCCTTTAACAAGAGCACATCAGTAACTGCTCTGCAGAGCTGCTGACACCTCCTGGAAAAGAGTGACAGCGCATAATTTTCTGTAGTATCGGCCTCGCTATATGCCTTTCCCTCACTCTAAAAGTATTTCATTGCACACAGGATCGTCTTCTAAAAATGCTTGCCTGTGCCTCTTGCTTTGACCCTGCATGGGGTCACCACCCTGTTTGCCACCATCCTGACACATGAAGAATGCAATAGAAGTGCAGAATAAGCAATAAGAGCACAGCATGTGAACAGAGAGTTGCCTCCAAATTGAAAAAAGCAAGGGGACAGATCTTGTCCTGAGTTACAGGATATAACAATCTAGCCTTTCTGTAAATAAAACAGAATCTGGCCACATAAAAGCAGGTTTTAATTAAAAAACAAAAAACCCAACACACATCACCCTGGATACTCCCAATAGTCTTAGCCAAAAATCCAAACACTAGATTGCAGCATGAGCCTTTTTCTAGTCCTTTGGAGAAGGAGAGGAATTAGGTTGAGTCCTGCAAGGATAAAAATTGGTATCCACAGAAATGATCCATGGATATCCTCAGCCACATATATTGATGCCTGCAGTAGCTTAGAGGTGTAGATTCAGGTAGCTTAGAAGTGAGGACAAAGGCAACCTTTTAGCCAAGACCTTTGGGGGAAAAACTAGAAAGCAAGCAGGTCTAATCAATGATACCCAGAAGCAAGACCATGAGCACTGCTTCGCAGGTGGAGACACTGAGGTACTCAGCTGAGCCTGACATGACTCTTGTTCTTTTTCCAGAGATGAGCCTGAGCCAGATGGCCAGTGAGCTCCGCTGCCAGTGCATCAGCACGCACTCCAAGTTCATCCCCCCCAGGAACATTCAGGACGTGAAGCTGACACAGAGCGGCCCTCACTGCCAGAACGTCGAAATCATGTAAGCACTTTTGCCAAATTCGAACTGCTGCCAAATAGGAAGAGACTGCTGCTTTGTGTTGTGCTGCTCCAGGAGCTTTCAAAGCCCCAGTCACTCAGGGAGCCTCCCCCAAGAATACCTAACCCTAACCCCACATGCATCTGACGAAGTGGGTCTTTGCCCACGAAAGCTTATGCTCCTACACTTCAGTTAGTCTATAAGGTGCCACAGGACTCCTCGTCGCTTCCCCCAAGAATGTTTCCTTTTAAATTCTTAAGAGATTATGTTGGGCACTGCAATTTGCTTTTCATAGTGTCCAGTACCTCTGGGGTGGAACACAAATCCCAGAGAGGAATAAAGTACATTAGCTATAAAGTACTAGAATCTGCAGTAATCCAATTCCTGAAATTCTGATGAAATAGAGAGCAGCCCTACTGCAAAGGACAAGTGTCCTGGACTTGATGCTGCTCCCATTCTTTCTATGGACTGGAATGGTACAGGATGAAGCGCCACATGCTTCAGTCCTTGCTCACCCAACATTCCCCACTGTGTCCTTAGGTAATTTCCCTGAAAGAGCAATGCAGATATCAATTTCTTACATGAAAAGCAACATGAGTGCAGATAAACACAAGCTATATACATAATTTGACTGCACTAGAAAATATAAGGAGGGCTGTGCTTTTTATTTTTTTGGCAAGCATGGAATTCTTTCAGCCAAACCAATGATCTGGGTCTAGACCCTCCGCTGTGTAAATTGGTGTAACTCTCTTGTGAGGTCACTGGAACCCATGACAATCCGTACTAGCCATGCCTCTGTCTTAAAAGGTTGAAAGATCCCCTGATGCGAGTACAGAGAGTCCACCAAGTAGGTAGATACTTGACCATCTTTGTTTACCTTCTTTGCAGTGCTACTCTGAAGGATGGTAGAGAAGTGTGTTTGGAACCCACCGCTCCATGGGTGAAGCTGATCATTAAGGCAATTTTGGACAAGTGAGTTGTTTGTCCTCAATTAGTTTAAAGGAATAACTAGGTACTTCTTAGCACAAACTGTTTGAGGGTTAGTCCTCAGAGAATAGCAAGTTGTCACAGAACTTGTCTCTCAACGAGTCAAATAATAGCAATATCCTACCTTAAGGGAGGTCTGGTGGTTAAATTATAAACCTGAGGTTCTTCCTCTTTTCTGCTTTGCCTCATGCTTCCTTGATAAGGTTGGGTAAGTCATGTGAGTGGCAGGGGAGGGATCACGCAAGGATTACGTATTGAGATCCTTCTCTCTGGGGCATCTGGTATGGGCCACTGTCAGCAGACAGGATACTGGAGGAGATAGACCTTTGGTCTCACCCAGTATGGCTGTTCTTATGTGGCCATTAGCAATTCAGGGCAGCTGCTAATCTTTCAGGAGACAATGGGACTCACAGGTGCTCAGTACTCCACTCTCCAGACTGATTTCCCTGTTGGTGTGAACCAAGAGTAACTATGCCAAAGTCAATGACGTTTCACCAATGTGGGAGGGATCAAGAGTTCTCTTGTTCTGGGCAGCAAGATAGGGTGCTCACCCTAGCATCAGTACTTGTGAAAATATGGGTCTTACCTTCTGCCCCACTGAGGAACCAGCAGTACAAAGAAGACGATAATTCTCGGGTCTTCAACTAAGCTATTCAAACCTCTTCTGTGGAGCCCATGTGGTTCTAACTAATGATAATTGCCCCATCACCAAGTTTCTAAACTATTCCTTTTTTTCCTTTCTTTACAGAGCTGAAGCCAATAGTGAAACAAAGCTCTAAGAAAAGCCAAAGAAGAAAAACCACTGCTGTTCTTCAGTTTCCTGATGAAGGAAACATCTCTGTGAAAATGCTGGCTAGTCTGCGAGCAGCCTGTCTCCTTCTGCTAGCACCATCTATTCATTTATTTATTGAGGAGCATCGTTAAGAGACTTTTTAAAAAATGCTCTATAGAATATGGTTCTTGTAAAGCTGAGAACTGGATAAGGGAAAGTGATTTGCTGATGAAAGACTCACTGGAAATGACTTAGGCAGGACACAGTTTCAGGCGTGCAATGCACTTGCAGCACAGTTTCATTTATTCTCAGCCAGGCTCTTTTGTTATTACAGCAGTACAGTGGCGACACTTACCCCTCCCCTGCACACGCATGTTGTATCAACAGCGCTGAGAGTCATGGCTACTGTCTGGGGTTTTGTGGTTTCAGAAATGAAGCTGCCAAAGTGCTGTTTTCGGGTGGACATTATTTATTGTGCTGTAGCACATCATTTTTATAACTCTCTCTCTATTTAAAAAGTTAATATTTGAGTGTCAGAACTCAAACTTTATTTATTTGTTATTTTGATTCATCTGGATTTTTATTCTAATATGCTAATTCCTTATGAAAATGAAATATGTGAAGTTCCTGCTGTTGTGTGAGGGTTTTATGTTAATTTATTTAATTTTGTTCAATGAATGAAAAAATGTTAAGGTTCGTGTTCCCATTTTCATGTGCATTTTGGAATTCCATCATTTTTACATTAAAGTGTGTGCTTAAAACCTGATGTATTTTCTCTTTCTTGGTTGCTGGCACTTGGCTTGATCTTTGTCATCAAATGTTCAGGGTTCAAAAAAGAGCTAGATGAATTCAAGGACAATAGCCATCCTGGCTAATAGCCATTGATGGACCTAAGGATGGTTTCCCTACCCTGTGTTTGCCAGATGCTGGGAATGGATGATAGGGGATGATCACTTGATGATTCCCTGTTCTGTTTACTGCCCTGGAGACACTTGGCATTGGTCACTGTTGGAAGACAGGGCACTGGGCTAGATTGACCTTTGGTCTGACAGAATATGGCCATAGTGATGTATTTCTGCAGCAGGTGGAAGTAACCCAATTAGGGGTAAGTTGACATTTCTCAAATTGATGGCCAAATGGAAGCTCAATAAGCAGACAGCAGCAGAACCTGGGGGGTCTAGTCTGAGACAAATGGGGTACTGTGTTGGCTCAATGTCATGCACATTCTAAGTTTCTTTTCTGGGTGGTCCATGGGGTTTAGCCTCCACAGTTCTGAAATGGGTGAAATAATGTTGGGGTTGTGGGAATGGCTGCTCTACACTTCAGCAGCTCCCAACCTTTCCAGACTACTGTACCCCTTTCAGGACTCTGGCTTGTCTTGCAGGCTGCCAGTTTCACCTCCCTTAAAACCTACTTACTTAAAAACTTGGCTGCACACATAAAAAGACATCAAGCTAACTAAAATGATGCTAGACCAGAGAGTGCCAGAGTAGAGAGGTTCAGCCTGTAGAATAGGAAGAAATAAAGACTAAAACTAAAGGGTGTTACAGAGTATGGTGAGAGTATAATATATCAGCATAGGCAGGAACCCTCTCTCAAGCCAAGTTCAAGCAACTGGTTGGGAGAGGCAAGGAATGGTGGGAAAGGCAGGCATAAAGCCCCAAACCCCAAGAAATGCCTGTTCCTCACCAAAGTACAAACTTGATACTTATGCCTCCCATGGGGAACAAAAGAGGTGGCAGGAAGACCCCAGACTCATGACTCTCCAAAATGGAACAGGACTGTAGGTTGAAAGGGTTGGGACTGGGGCGTACATGGCAGATGTATTTGGGGCTGCCAAAAAGGAGGAGAAGAGATGAATGGGGACACAGGCAGGGCTCTGGTGTCACAGCTGGGAAGAGAGATAGAGAGTAAAGGCTCTGAGCATCAATGCTGGGAAACTGACTCTGCCACTGTGTAGCGCAACAGATGTGCTTACTTGGAACTAACCCCGATAATGTCGCTTTGTCTGAACTTCAGACTTCGGGTTTTCTGTTTTCTGTCTGCCTGACAGGAACCCCGGGAGGCGATGAAAGGCAAGCCCTCTAGCACTCTGGCTAAGAAACACTCCTTGACAGCATTATTCCTCCGCCTGAACTCACGGGCAAATGTTTTGAGTGCAGGTGACCTCCATGAATCAGGTAAGCAGAGGAGGTATTTCTGGCATCAGGGCAATCAGATGTGGTGCAGTGGAGTGTGTGTTTTCAGGCAGGCACATTATTAGTAGTTGGAAATGTTTTATCTTTGGACTTTAAAAAATTGCAGCCTGCCTACCCCAGAATCTTGCCAAGCACTGTTGAAATCATGGGAATCAAAGGACTATACTGAATTAGTAGCAGATGCTTTCTAATACTGTTTTTTGAGGGAATATGATGACAGCTATTTCTGACCAGTGATGTAGTGGTAAAAAGGAGATAAACACCTAAAATACCTCCAAAGAGAAAGGGTAAACTCCATTTACCCTCACCTATGCTACTGTTTCTGACCCTGCCCTTCCTACTCTGACCACATTCAATGTATTCAGAAGTAGTATGATAGTTTTGGACTGCCCCAAAAGAAGTACTAAGTAGCAATAACATTCTGAGATACAAAGGAATGAACAAAGAAACTTTAGTCAGAGCAGTTCCAAGGTGTTTTCAACAGATGTGCAAAAAGAACTCTAGTTAAGCATCACACTGGTGAAATGACCAAGTTTCACAACTTTAACTGCAGACATGAGCTGGCCCATATTGACGCATTGCTTCCAAACTTAGCTATTGGCCCAAAGTGGGGCAAATTCAACCCAGAACTGAACATCTTGGAACTTCAAAAAATTCAAAAACCAGATGTGATTGCTGCAACCATGGCTTGAATAGCCTCCATCATGTTAGTATCAATGTGCTACTGTGTGAGCTCGTAGGAGGGTGTAGAATATTTTGGCAGGGACCTTTATTTTTCCTTCAAGGAACGGCAATCACTTGATTTTTAAAAAAACAGTTTAGGCAGTTGGAAAGGAATTTTGTCTAACCCTGGATGACATGACAAAATTTAAAGAGACAGCCGAAGCTAATTATAATCTTTGAAAGTTCTACCAAAAGGTGTCTGATTCTGACACTTTACCAGCCTCAAGCATTCAAAAGTCACAATTCAGGCCTCCCAAAATCAGCAGTGGCTGAATCAGGAGGCCTGGGGCAGAGCAGCTGGGGTGCTGCTGGGTTGGTCCAGTAGCGCCGAGGAGGGGCGCTACTGGACCAACCCGGCAGCATCCCAGCTGCTCTGCCCCAGGCATCCCTAAGTCAGCCACTGCTGAAACTGACCAGCGGCTGACTACAGGAAGCCCAAGGCAGAGCAACTCTTTTATAGACAGGTATAAACAATTTACATCATTTCTTTACGTACCAGGTTACCACCCTCTGTTGTCTAGTTACCATCCTTCACCTTATGGAAGGGGGGCTTACTTACTATCCTTCATGCTGTCAATTCCGACCTGGTCCTGAACCTAGGTTGGTATGTGCATTAGTTTTTAGGGAGTTTTTGTACCAAGACATTTCTTATTACAATGATCCATTACTCCCCTTTGGCTTACAGTCTGTACCCAGTGCCTCCCTGTGTCCTTCCATGCTTGACCTAACTTACACAATCACACAATTATCAATAGGGCTTTTTTCTTGGCTCCTGTTACTGAACCAAAGTCTTGCTCACTAGATTGCAAGGCCTGTTGCTGTTTTCATGTTACAGGCCTCTATTTAGGCCTGCTGACTCCATGTTACTGACCCTCAACTTACTACAGCTGCCTGCAGGAAAATCTCTAGCTTTTGGTTAAATAAAAAAAGCAAACGCCAAAGGATTGCATCTGAAACCAAAAATACTTGTTTGGAAACATCTGTGTAGGCAGACGCTGTTGGCGGTTGTAGTTTGGGTGCCTCTAGCCGCCATTCAAAAGTAGGTTGCCTGATCTGGGGATGTACCCTGGCCAATCATAGAATCATAGAATACTAGGACTGGAACAGACCTCGAGAGGTCATCGAGTCTAGTCCCCTGCCCTCATGGCAGGACCAAATACCATCTAGACCATCCCTGATAGACATTTCTCTAACCTACTCTTAAATATCTCCAGAGATGGGGATTCCACAACCTCCCAGGGCAATTTATTCCAGTGTCTGACTGTCCTTACAGTTAGGAACTTTTTCCTAATGTCCAACCTAAACCTTCCTTGCTGCAGTTTAAGCCCATTGCTTCTTGTTCTGTCCTCAGAGGCCAAGATTAACAAGTTTTCTCCCTCTTCCTTATGACACCCTTTTAGATATCTGAAAACTGCTATCATGTCCCCCCTCAATCTTCTCTTTTCTAAACTAAACAAACCCAATTCTTTACTGTAATTGCACTGGAATGTTGCCTCTTCAATGAAGATTATTGAAGTGGTTTCATTAGCATTCCTGGCTATTAAGAGGATTCTCAGTATATCCAATAGTTTGGGTCATCTCACCTCTGTAGTCCTCAGGTGTGTGAGAGCCAGTAGCCTATTATTGGCTCACTACTAACTGTCTGGTCTTAGCAGGAGCAAGCAGAGTTCCAAACTATACTCACAGTTGAACTCCACTAGTTTGAAAATAAGGCTCAAGCCTTGCTGATGAAACCACTTGAATAATCTTCATTGAAGAGTCAACATTCCAGTGCAATTATAGTGATCAAAATCTAGGTTAAACATAAATCTCCAGCTGTAGCACTAGAATAGTGACAGCAAAAGGCTAATCTGCATATGTCTTGTCTTTTGTCCAGGTCATTTTGAATTATGACCCTATCCTCCAGATTAGTCGCAACCTCTCCCAGGTTGGTATCACCTGCAAACTTAATAAGCGTACTTTCTATACCAATATCTAAATTGTTGATGAAGATATTGAACAGAGCTGGTCCCAAAACATACCCCTGCAGAACCTCACTTGTAATGCCTTTCCAGCAGGATTGTGAACCATTAATAACTACTCTCTGAGTAAGATTATCCAGCCAGTTATGCACCCACCTTATAGTAGCCCCATCTAAGTTGTATTTACCTAGTTTATTGATAAGAATATCATGTGGGACCGTATCATGTACTCCTTTGTTGCATCTGGGAGAAATCGTATGAACACCAGCCCGGACCCCCTAGTTTGTGGTGTGCCCCACAACAGATTTTTTTGTGGAGCAGTGGCCTCTAACCCCCCAAAAGTTTCCCAACTCCTGATAGTAACAGCACGGGCCCTCTGGGCATCTGCACCAAGGAGGAGCTAGGTGTGTGGGGTTCCTGACTGTCCAGGCAGAAATCAGCACAGCCCCAGGCAATGGGAGGTCCCCGCCTTGCTGCACAGGGACTAGGTGGGCACCCCCTTGCTCCGAGCCCTGCCACCGTGTGGGCACTGGCTCAGCAGAGCCACTGGCTGTGCGCTGTTGTCCCCTTTCCAAGCCGGCCCCTGTCCCCCAACATTGGGGGTGCTGCCGGGAAGGGCACAAGCCCTGGGAGGGCCGGTGGAGATCCCCGTGCTGCTCGTGGGCTCCCACTGCAGAGTAGCACAGCTGCAAGAAATTGGGGGGGTCATTCCCCTGGGGGGCCCCGTGTGTATTTGGCACTGCTTTGTTACAGTCGGTCCCTTCCGGGCAGGGCCACATCCCCAAAGGGGGGGGGGGGGGACTGGACACCCCCAGAGGCCAGGTGAGAACAGCCCTCTCAGTGACATGTGGTGCAGGCGGCGAGTTGCGCGGAGGCCTGGGGGATGTATTTCAATCCTCCCACACAACATGGGATGTTTCATCCCGATGCCTTTTCTGCTACATGGCCCCCTGGAGAGCCCGTTCTGCCGCTGCGGGGGGACCAAGGCGGGGAGGGGACGTGCTGCTCCGAGGAAACTAAAACTCCCCTTGGAGCAGAGCCTTGCAGGCGATGAATTTGGACTCCGATTTCAGCGGTCCGGGATCTCAGGTGTTTACAATCCGAGAGAGAAGCGGCTAAGTCCGCTTTTCAAAAGGGACCTTTTCTGTGTACACACGGGCTGAGTGCAGGGCAGAACCCTGGATTGGAAGCCTGGTGCTACCGCATCTAGGGTGTGTCTCGACTACAGGGTTTTGTCGACAAAAGTGGACTTTTGTTGACAAAACTCTGAAAACAGTATCACAGCCAAAGAGATGAGGAGGGAGATCCAGGAGTCCAAGGTGTCCTTAACAGGAGAGTACAGGAGAATATAAAGGGAGAGTCAAATACAGAAAGTGACACAAACCCGCCTGTTACACTGAGCCAGCTCCACGGTGACTTTGCACATCCTTCTGCTAAGGAGCTTGATGTGAGGGATAGCCAACTCCACAGTTATCTAGGAAGGAGTTTTACCCGTGGCCACATGATTCAGTTTGCTAGAGTGCCTGCTTTGGGAATTTCCTCTGACACTATCTGGAAGGTTTCGGTAACCAGTGTTTGGTTCTTTAAAGGATTTTAAACCACAGACAGAGGAATACTTCCTTTTGAAGTTAAAGAAGGACTTAATTTCTACTTATGATTATTTTTTCATTTGAATCAATTCACTATCTTTGATACTTTTAAGACAGTGTAACATACAAATAAAGAGTAGAAAACCAGTACAACTAAGACAAGAATAATAACCCCTTCTACAGCTATACCCTCCAGAGTTACCTTTGAACAGTTTGTGGAGTTATCAGTCATACCTATATAATACTTACATTAAGACGGATAGAAGCATTGTTTAGATTCAGGAGATATTCTTTTCTTTATGTCTTTCCTTTTGGATTTTTCGTTGCAACTTACAATCAGTGTTCCCCTTTCGGAGCTAACAAGCAGAAGCAAGATTCAGTGCCGGGGAGGGAGCCCTGGTTGATCAGACCTGGCTTTTTCGGATTCACAGCCCATCCGCTCTTGGCCTGTTTAGTTCAACCTTATATGCCCTTGCCTGACTATGCTGACGTTAGTTTTTTGTTGTCTCATTTTGCCTTTTTTATTTTGTTTACCTCTTATTTGGGTTTATCAGCTCTTTGTTGCTTTTGCAATCTTTAATTTTTTCCTTCCCTAAAAGCAGGGTTATTGTCGGTCATCCAAACAAATTTTGGTTTTTTGCTTACGTCTCCTGTATCTTGACAATGTTGCCTTTCTGTTACTTACAACTAAATTAGTGCTTATTAGACATTTCATAGAAGAGTCACACCCCAGAGCTGTGTATAAAAGCGGCTGGGTTACCAGCTCCGACATCAGAAACCAGAGAAAAAGCAAGCTCTACTTCCTCACAAGCAGAGGCAGAAGACAGAAGGAAACCTCCCTTCTCATCATGAACGGAAAAGTCCTTGTCGCTGGCTTGGCTCTTTTCCTGCTCTACGCAGCGGTGGCAGAAGGTAAGCAAAACCCGTCCTAAGGCTGAAATGCCTTGGCTTAGGCACCTGTGGTGCATGCTCATATGGAGACAGATTAGTAGGCTAATTTTACAAAGGCGATGTCCAGTTAAGCTAGTTGACAGAGAGCTCGACGGAAAAAGTTCTGCCTTTAACAAGTGCACATCAGTAACTGCTCAGCAGAGCTGCTGACACCTCCTGGAAAAGAGTGACAGCAGCATAATTTTCTGTAGTATCGGCCTCGCTATATGCCTTTCCCCTCCCTCTAAAGATATTTGATTGCACACAGGATCGTCTTCTAAAAATGCTCACCTGCGCCTCTTGCTTTGACCATGCATGGGGTTACCATCCTCTTTGCCACCATCGTGACACATGAAGGTTGCAATGGGAGTGCAGAATAAGCAATAAGAGCACAGCATGTGAACAGAGATTTGCCTCCAAATTGAAAAAAGCAAGGGGACAGATCTTGTCCTGAGTTACAGGATATAACAATCTAGGCTTATTGTAAATAGATCAGAATCTGGCTACATAAGAACAGGTTTTAATTAAAAAACAAAAAACCCAACACGCACCACCTTGGATACTTCAAATAGTCTTTGCCAAAAATCCAAACACTAGATTGTAGCATGAGCCTCTCTCTAGTACTTTGGAGAAAGAGAGGATTTAGGTAGAGGATTTAGGTAGAGGATATAAAATCGGTATCCGCAGAAATGACCCATGGATATCCGCAGCCACATATATAGATACCTGCAGTAGCTTAGGGTATGTCTATACTACCCCGCTAGTTCGAACTAGCGGGGTAATGTAGGCATACCGCACTTGCAAATGAAGCCCGGGATTTGAATTTCCCAGGCTTCATTTGCATAAGCGGGGCGCCGCCATTTTTAAAACCCCGCTGGTTCGGACCCCGTGCAGCGCGGCTACACGGGGCACGAACTTGGTAGTTCGAACTAGGCCACCCTAGAAGTTGTGGGAAGTCCACAAATGCAAAACCTGGTTTCAACAGCCCCAGACTCTGGAGGCTCAGCGCCTGTATTCTCTAGTGCAGTGTTGCCCAATTTTATTTGGCCACGGAACCCTTTTAAACTTGAAAGAATTTTGTGGAACCCCTTAATAACAGTCTACTATATGGAGCTGAAAATGTAGACCACAAATAAGTAAGGATAATAATAAACAAATGCTAAACAAGGTCATGAGATCTACATTTAGTTTAGTAACATATATTTAAAAACAAAAATCTCAAAATTATTATTATTTTATTTAATCCTAAAATGTTACTCTAATGGAATTTTCTCATGGAACCCTTATTTTCACTTTGTGGAACCCTGGGGTTCCGCGGAACACCATCTGGGAAACACTGCTCTAGTGTGATCTAAGTGATGAAGTGCCAGCAATGCCTCACTGCCATTGGCCAAACCGGACAGTCTCTGCGACACAAGTCAGACGTCAGAAATGGTAACACCCATCAACCAGTAGGGGAACATTTTAACCGCCTGGGTGCTCAGTCATCGATTTTAAAGGAGCCATTCTCCTACAAAGGAATGTCACCAGCCAATTATATAGAGAGAGGCTGCAGAACTGGAATATATTTACCCTGGGCTTGAACAAAGTCATTAACTGGCTGGAGCACAACAAAGCCAATGTCTCCTGCCTTTAACATCTGCATTTCCACGTCTAAAGCTACGGGTGGGACACATCCAGCCTACTTAATTAGCCTCATTAACACAGGTCCTACAATTGTCTGTGTCTAGACTGGCAAGTTTTTCCGCAAAAGCAGCTGCTTTTGCAGAAAAACTTGCCAGCTGTCTACACTGGCTGCTTGAATTTCCGCAAGAACACTGACCATATAATGTAAGAAATCAGTGCTTCTTGCAGAAATACTATGCTGCTCCCGTTTGGGCAAAAGTCCCTTTCGCACAAAGCTTTTGCGCAAAAGGGCCAGTGTAGACAGCTCAGGTTTGTTTTGCGCAAAAAAGCCCCGATGGCGAAAATGGCGATTGGGGCTTTCTTGCGCAAAAGCGCGTCTAGATTGGCCACGGACGCTTTTCCGCAAAAAGTGCTTTTACAGAAAAGCATCCGTGCCAATCTAGACGCTCTTTTCCGCAAATGCTTTTAACAAAAAACTTTTCCGTTAAAAGCATTTGCGGAAAATCATGCCAGTCTAGATGTAGCCCTGAAGTCAAAAGGGACCCTGTTATTCATTTCCCATGGAAAACACTCATCTGCTATGGGGATGGCAGAATAAAACCCTAACAGCCAAAGAAAGATCAAGAGAGGCTCACTAAGGCTATGTCTACACTGCGGAGCTGTTTGGGGATAGTTCTGGTATTCCAAAACAGCTATTCCGCGTCTTTTGAGCAAGCCCTTTATTTCAAAACGTAACGAGCTCACTATTCCGACGTCCCTGTAAACCTCATTCCACAAGGAGGAAGGGACGTTTTGGAATAGCGATTTATTTTGAAATGTGGTGCTGACAGCGCCAAATGACGAAATAAGCTATTTCGAAATAAGATTGAAAAGATGCAATTCGCGTCGCTCAAACGGCGTATCTTATTTCGACCTACGGTGCAGTGTAGATGTAGCCTTGGAGGCCTATTGAAGAGCTGTGGGGACGGACCCTGGTAGAAGACCCACCCTCTCTCTGCTTGCCATTCATTCCAGCTTTTGTTAAACTGGCCTGTTATTTTTCATACTCTCCTCCGCATCCCGCTCGTGATGCAAGCAGAGGGAACAGACACTTGCAGCTGGGAATGGTGCAGCGAGCAGTAAATAGGAAACGTTCTCATGCTCGCTAGCACAGGGTGCTCCGAACACCCTCTGGCAGAAGCAGACCAAGGGGGCTAGTAAAAGTGTCAGAGGATCAGGAGCTACAACCAGACACAACATGCCAAGGAAGGCAACAAATACTAAGGCCATGAGTAAGGTAAGTGTATACAACAGCTTTAGATACTTTACTCTTTATTCTATTCAGTTATTTGCAGGCTCTGCAGGCAGCGTGGAATGGACAGATATGTCATAGGCTTCCTAGACGCATACAGCACCACAGGCATCTTGGCTCAGGGATTGTGCGATGCTGCCCCGATGAAAGACTTTGGGACTGTATTTTCTAACAAGTGACCTGCAATTGGCATGCACACACTTCACCTGCCACACCCACATCTGTGTGTGCACTCCGCATGCGCCTTCCCGCAGTTGTGTTATTTCGCAGGTGCAGTTCAGGTGGCTTGGTTTGAAAATTTGACCTTAGAAGATAACAGATCATTAGCATAATAAGGACTTTGTCTTTGGCAGAGAGTGTGAGTTATGACAAACATGCATACTAGTGTGTTTGTGTGCACTTGCGCATATTGTTTGTACACTTGTGTATGCAAATAACCCAGCCTGTACTAGAAATGAGGTTCTTATCTACATGGCCAGTGTAATTAAATGTATCCAAACAAATCTATCTGAATTGCTTCTTCAGGCTCCTACAGCCACCAGGAGTCTCAATTCATTAAATAATGTATTAATGTCCTGCCCAGAACTTCTCTAAAGTACAAACCCCTGAACAGCCAGTGCGACTTCAATTCTTGAGCATTTTATTTGTGCGGTGCTGCAAGAAACACAACAGCCACCCCTGACTCTGCTCGCGGGCCCCGCCTCTGCCAGTCAGAGGGCACCGTGCCACGGCCCGCTCATGTCCC